AGTTAGCCTTAGGAAAAAGGCCAACGCGAAGCCAGTTCAAAGCGAGCAGGTGCTGGCTAACTAACTTTATGAAGAGGAAAGGCTTTTTCCTCCGAAGGTGAACGGGCATATGCCAAAAGTTGCCGGAGGAGTACAAAAAAAAAAAAGCTTCACAATTTTCAGAGGTTCGTCCTAAACTTGCTGCACAACAACGGCTACCTGCTTGGGCAAATTGTAAATGCCGATCAGACACCTCTTTACTTCGAAAGGCCTGGCACCATAGCCGTCAAGAAAAAGGGGGCAACGCAAGCTCGCGTACTGGCATAGGGCCACGAAAAAACTAGTGCGACCGCAATGCTCTGTTGCACGTCAAATGGGCACAAGCATTCTCCGTACCTGATATTTAAACAGAAGACACTCCCGAAAGGAGTCGTTTTCCTGAGTGACGTGATCATGCGGCCCAACGAGAAAGGTTGGATGACAACAGACCTGGTGGCCGATTGGATCCATCACGTCTGGCGGAAGCGGCCGGCGCCGGTTTGGGCCTGTGAGCTATGCCCGTGCTCGACGCATTCAGGTGCCATCTCGTCCAGCGGATCAAGAACAAGCTCGCCGCGCGCAATGCGGACCTTGTAGTCATACCTGGCGGCATGATGTCATAACTTCAACCGCTAGATGTCTGCCTGAACAAGCCGGCTAAGGACAAGGTTCGGGCGCTCTACTCTGACTGGCTGATCAATGGACAACATGATTTCACGCCAGGCAACAGGATGAAGCGGGTCTCTCTGCAAGACTTTGTTGCGTGGGTGAAGGACGCGTAGTGGGCAATACCATCAGCCATGGTCATCAAGGCATTCAAGAAATGTGGAATCTTGAATGCCATGGACGGTACCGAGGATGAGATGCTTTAGGCCGTTGACAGCAATAAGGAGTTGTCCAACAGCGATGAGGACTGACCTATTACGTGACTCGTAACGCCGCCGTAGTGGTCACAGTTTTAGCTGCAGGGCCGCTTTTTGACCTTGTGTTTTATCTTTCGAAACTTCAGTGCATCAAAACCTAAATACTTGTTCTCAATGCGCGAAGTTTGACTCTTACGGACTTTTTTTTTCTCTACCGTCGCAAAAAATGGGTGTGCGTTACAATCGATGTCTTGTTTTTTTTTTTTGTCATGGAAACTGGGTAGGCGTTACAATTTAGGGCGCGGTAGAATTGAGTAAATACAGTAATGCGAATGCCACGTAAAAAATCGCCTTTCCTTCATACGTTTAAATTAGGTTCATCCCCCCTCCATGAAGTAACCCAATACAAGTATCTAGGAGTCGCCTTTAACAACGCGTTAAATAGAATGACCACATTAGTAATACTTGCTCCTCATCCTTCAGAAAATTATGCTTCCTAAAAAATAAACTTAAAGAAGCACCATCTGACGTAAAACTGCTATGCTATAACTGAACTTAATCAAAAACAAACTAGAATATGCATGTATCGTTTGGGATCCGTATACGTAAACTAATATCAATAACCTCGAGAGAGATTGCAGTGAAACGTAGTTAGATGTAAACGTAAACATTTTGACAGCAATCTGTCTGGCTGGGTAGAAAAGTTTAGAAAATTGAAATTGCTCCAGCCACAGTTCAAAAAGAGCCCGACGTTTCGGGACCGACTCGGTCCCTTCCTCAGGGGGTGACTGTCTTGGTCATGGAAGTGTCGTCGCGTCGTGTTCTCTCACCACGGCTCCGGCTTTCCCTTTCCACCACGTTTCGGAGACCGTGAACGTACACCGAAGGCATTGTTCCCAGCGAGCGGTTCACGTTGGCAGGCGTATGCTGAATGTGCCAAGACTCGAGCAAGAGCCTCTTTCCCAAATTCCGTTCTGTTTCAATAACAGAAGCGCCGTCTAAGTCAATTTTATGGTCGTGCTTCTCGCAGTGCTCCGCCAGAGCGCTACGTTGCACTTCCATCTTCCTGACGTCGTTCTTGTGTTGGCGCATTCTTTCCGGGAAACACTTGCTCTCGCCTATGTAGCAGGCTGGACACCCAGAACACGACACTTTGTAGACAACGCCCGGGTGTAGCTCCCTCGGAGGTCGGTCTTTCGGCCGCGGTAGCAAGCGGGCGAGCGTCGAAACATTTAACAAATTCTCAAGACATGATTCACCCACAGAACTCATGAGTGCTAACCACATTGAACCGGCCTGTATGAGAAGACAGAAGCTCAGACTGGAATTTCTTAAACTAGTTTACACGAACAATTCACCCCTAGACTCATCTCTATAGCTGTCGCCCCTATTAACCTGAACCATTCGCCACCGAAGACAAGTTGAATTAACACCCTATTTCACGAGAACGAACACATTTAAGAATTCTCTTTTCCCTCGTACAATAACTGAATGGAATTGTGTAATCGAATCGACTCCAAAATTCATATTATTATTAATTTGTTTGTATAGCGTTTCGCCAAACGTATTGACTCTATTTCTGTATTAGTGTTTTTGTTTCATTTATTTTTTTATTTTCAACATGTTCACTGTTGTACTATTTTATTTGCCCTCCCTGCTTGCACTACGTGACCGCAGTATTTGATAAATAAATAAATAGCAGTGGCACACAATCATGGGACGAAAGCGACGTGCGTAGCCTTTTGTTTGAAGGAGCCGATTCGATCACATAAGTTGTTGTGTGCAATTTCAGGCGAAGTAAACCTGAAGTTGGAGCTACATGTATTGTAGTCATATGTATTTTGGTTTTCGGACTTACTGAAACGTACTGTCCGACTACACAGCCCTTGGGGTTAGAACACATTTTATGTTGACCTGCACAACATTTGGCATCAGCCCATATGTCACCTTTACTCAGCGACATGAAAAATATGCGGAACGAATTGATTTGGGAACATCAAATTATGTCTAACAAATTATTAGTTGGAGCTTCGGTATCGATGCACTGCTCTGGTTCCTGTGTCGCGCCGGTTTTCGTGCGACATTTTTAGCGGATGTAGATAGGGACTTGGACAATGCTTTTAGGAGGGGGGCGGGGGGGGTTTAAAGGTTTTTAGGTATGTTGATGATTTTTAAAATTTTTTTAGATAAGCAGGGAGACCTTACATCGCCTGATTTTATTTTAAACCTATTTATAAGACTAGAACGAGGGCTCTCCTTCACTGTTAAATTGCCACACACAAAAAGTCTGCAGTTTTTAGACTTGAGCCTCACGTGGAACGTTGAGCATTTTTGCTGGTCTTATCATCCTCGTGTTGAGAAAGAGTTGTTGCCGTACGATTCTGCCTACTCAGTGATTGTGAAGAGGGGCGTTGCGTCTCTCTTTGCTTGGAGTCAGCGCTGAAGAGGTCGTGCCCACACAGCATGAAACTTGGTTTCCTCAATCAGGTGAGCCGATTAGAGGCTGCTGGGTTCCCTCGATCGGTCATTACGGCCATTTCTGTATCACTTCTGCAGAAGTTTAAACATGGAACATGGGAAGCGATGACTGCTACCCAGCCCTTGTGGATTATGCCACAAGTTGTGCCATATATCCATAAGTTCTCGCACAACCTCAAGAAAGTTGCGGCCAGGCACGGCGTACCGTTGGTGTTTTCCACACCCAAAAAAATCTGAAGACTGTGCCAACGTGTGTGCGATAGCAAAAAGCGCGGCTGCGAGAAGAAGCATGAGAGGGCCTTTGTTAAGTGTTTCACGGGGGTCATGTACTCCATACCTTTATCTTGCGGAAAAGTGAACATTGGCCAAATCGAACAGTGTATTATTGGCCAGTTAAGGGAACACGCCCAAAAATTAACAAAACGAGATAAGTATGCACACCTGGTTGTGCATGTCATCTCGTGTGGTTGTGACGCACGATTCTCTGAGACGAGTATTGTGGGCAGAAGCACAAGTAAAACTGCACGTGAAGTGTCAAGGCCTTTTTCATTGAAAAAAACAAAGAGCACTGTGTAAGCTCCCCTTAGCTATCATTGTTACCGAGTGAATTCCAATTTATCGCTTTGAGGGTCGGACATTGATTAACTGTATGTACTGATAATGCTTGCTGTTGGCTTTCTATGGTGCTAGTGTGCACATGTGTCATGTATATATTCAAGCCTTCAAGCTATGAATAATTCAGTTGGAAGTGGGTGCTGTGTGTGTTTGATGCCTGGGTGTGTGCGTGTGTGAGTGATTGTGTCGTGTGTTAGCACTCGAAATAACTATTAGAAGAGGTTCAATTACATTGCTAATTTCGCCAAACTGTCCTTTATAAGTATCTTTACAATCTCAGAAAGAATGGCTAAATCATGACGTGCTGACGTAGCGAGAAACATGCAGTATGCTGCCTGATCATCACCGCTGAGCGTCAATGCTGGGCATCACTGCTGTGTTGCAGTGAAGCAGATCTTGTTTTCCGCGGGCATACGTTTTAGTTGACCACGAGACCGATATTTCTCTTTCTCTCTCTCTGTCGTTTTTTGCACTGTAAGTAGCAAAGCTGAGGTGTTTTAGGTGCCACTCAGTATTGCTACGTTACATTGCCTTGTCGCTCTTAAGGGCCGTCCTTTCTGCTGAATTGCGGTGAAGTTGAGATTCAGAATCATCACATGGCACCCAATGTTTTTGAGTTAACCGAACTGCTGCTGAACATCTCTTCAAATGATCCACTGAGACTTATATTGCAAAATACGGGAGCACGAAAATATTTAGTATTAAGTGGGATTTCGAAATAACTGAGCTTGAATTAATAAGATTATACTGTAGTGACTTGGCGGCCTCTTATCTGGACATGGAACTGTAATGGTTGCTATGCTGCTATTGGAGCATCACTCTAAGAACGGCTCTGCTCGCATAGGAACAGAGTTTGGGACGCAGAAAATGAGTGCATCTGAAACGGGTGGGGTGCACTGATTTGCTGCTCTGTTGTGTGAATACAGCTGTGGTGCATGCCTGTGTTAGTGCTCTAATGTGATTTGCTTGATGCGCTTCAGTCGTGTGCTTTAGCAGCTGATTGTTGTTTGCTTCTTCCCTCTCCAGCGATGGAGCTTCAGAGGCTGGCTCCGAAAACGACAGTGACATGGAAGTGGACAATGTGAGTGTCTGCTGTATTCGCCTAGCCAGCACATTACCTTATTGCTTACAAAGACTGATTGATGAATGTTTGTCACGCCTGGCAATTTTCATTGTTTTGAGGGATGGAAAGACTGCAGAAATGACACCTTAAAGCATTTGTGTGAGGGTAGGGCCAACTAAACAACGCTAGCAAAGCGCAAGTTAATGGAACTTGGCATCTGCCACAATAAACAGGTCGACGGATAAACCTGAGAATTGCTAACCTTCAAGTTTGCGCTACTTGTGATTCACAAGTGGTTTTGTTCCTGTTGTCTCTGATGGATGTGAAAGAACTGTTGGAGACTGATGCTGAGATGCAAGACACATCGAAGTGTGCAGAGCTTTTATAGCTTCCTCTTACTGCCTTGTCTCTTTTCTTCTTGAATTAACTGTATTTATAAGGGCACACTGCACCGTGCTGGATTCAGTCAAACGCCACTGCAATGAACACTCCTAGCGAAAAATTATCCGTTTCTTGTCTGCAGCCTGAAGGAGTCTGTGTATAAATACTGTTGTCACAATAAGCACTTTTAAAGACGATAGTCTTTCTTGGGGACCTTCGACGCAAAAATTTTGGTCTGTCTGTCTGTACATTTTTCTGTGCACTTGTCTGTTCGTCCGCCCTTAAAGGTACCCTAAACGCACCAAAGTGGCCAAACGATACTCCAAACGGCTGACCCCATCCGTAGCGCCCACCAATATTGCTCAAGATTCAGAGTTCGTACTTGTGCGATTGTACATTAAAACTCAATTATTGCGCATATCTAAGGCACCATAACAACACGTCAATATTCTGTATGTGTGTATGCCTAGAAAAAGCATACATAAGTAATTCTAAGGACGGTAGCGTTTATCACGTTGCCCTGACCATGCAATGCTTGCACGAAAAGGCAAGTGTTTTCAACGCTGTGTTAAGATAACACGGTGGTGACACCTACTTGTCGCCTTGCGTTCTACACCTTATCACCCCTGAGACGGACGCACAGGGCGTGCACGCTTCCTTTTCCAATATTACTGCCAGATAGCGCTCATGTCTCACGTGTGACATGACTTGATGCGCTCGTTCCCCTCTGCTGCACGCTTGAGGCACTCTAGCGCAGGGCCTCTAGAATACCATTCACTGATTTTCTTGTGCAGAACATCAAATAAACGTTTCGTTCAATCTCCCCAGACCTCAAGACTATGATCTTTCGACGACATTTACAGTGTAACATGCAGATACGGGGCCAATTTTTTTTCTGCCATCCCATCTCAACAAAATTTGACGATGCTCTTCCAGGCTCAAATATTTAATGTGGTGCAGTAAACACAACTTCATACATTTTGATGCATTTTTAGAACATGAAAATACGCCTTCGAAGTCTAAATTGAACGTTGGCACCGTCGGAAACCACCGCTATTCATTGAGCAGAAGGGGCCAATGCTTGATAGTGATGGCAATGAGACTTCCCTGCTTTTGCAACTGGCGTGCTTCTGAGCCGCAGACAATCTGAAGCTGAAGCTCAGTTCAAACGGCATCTGCAACTGAGTGGCACTGGCAGCATGGTGGTGGAAGGGAAGTTACATCAAACATTTCCCGAGTTTTATGCCGTGCTATATGCCAGACGAATGGGTGAACCACAAACTTGAAATGCGCGACAGCAGTACTGTGCACAAAAGGCGCCATTCAGAAGACCACAATTTTCAGGAAACCAAACAGAGAGGCGCTTGCGAGGCGCTACATGTCCAGTGGGTCCACGTCTGTTCTCCAGGCAGTGGTGCTGCATCAGTTTTGCGCCACATCGACGAGGGTTACGGTAATTTTTGCATTGGTTTTGGTGTCCAGTGAAATCCTGGCAGGAAAAGTAGACTATTGCGATCTTGGCCAGACGATGTGAGTTTGCGCACATTCTCCCTGCCATGTTGTGTGGCAGCTGTAAATTACAGCTGCACTGATGAAACATCTGCGAGCACACGTGGGCTGATGGGATTGCCCCACACTCAGCTGTTGTCTTCATGGTGGTGCGGTGGCATGCACTTGTGTCGTGGCCAGCCCAGCCAAACATGCAGCACAGTATGTGTAGTGCCCAGGTGGCGTTGCATGAGTGCTCCCAGCCAATAATTTGCTACATGCGACTGCTGGGTGTGAAACATTGCCTTTTCTGATGCCAGTGGTTCTTTTCGTGCTTGGCCACTGGTCAAAGTGGTGGTTAATCTGAGTTATCAGCAAAATCAGCCAGCCATGACTAGTGGACGATAAGAATAGCATAGAATGAGGCATTAGTCACCGCTCCACAATACCATGCCTGCATCTTAGAGCTGCTGGTGTGAGCGTGTCAGTGCAACTGTCAGGTTTGTTCACGAAAGCTGTTGTGGATTGCTTCAGCGTGCTTTTCAGCATGGTGTGGCTGTGCATGTGTGAGAATTGCATCATAAGAAAGGAAAGGAAGCAGTCAACAGTTTCTGAATTTTGGGAATATAAGTTTGTTTTGATAGCTTAGGTCAATTATATTTTTTCGATCTCACTACAACGAAATTTTCGCTTCAGCTAAATTTTTTCCATGCCCCATTAGTGTCGTAGTGGGGTTTGAATGTAATACCAAATGCATTGCCTTTCTCTTCACATGGTGATGGTTAAACATGCCTCTTATCGCAGAAGGAAGAGGCCGGCGCAGGGTGTCCTTGTTCCAGCTGTGGAGCCCCCATGACCCAGGCCTACACTTCCAGCAAGGGCAGCCTGTGTGCCAGCTGCTACCAACACTGGAAGTGAGTAACTCGTGTGTTCACTGCCGCGCCAGTGTGTACGGGCCCGACTTGTTGCCCATCCATCGATCTGGTATGGTGTGCTCACACACCCAATACAGGCCTCGAGCAGCATCTAGCAATGCTCAAAACCAGGTTCAAATAACCGAAGATGGTCCAAAATAATACGAAGGTGTCCAAAATATTATAACTGAAAAGTAGGGATGTGGGAATATTTAAAAGTGTTGAATATTTTTGAGTATTTAATTTGTAATATTCGTATTCGATTAGAAAGCCACATATTCAAAAAATTTGAATATTATAACTAGCATATTCCTCAAATATTTGATTTTCACAAATATTCAGTGGCATATGTCACTGTGAAGAAATTCCAATTTTGCGCATTTGCGATAAAAGCATATACAGAAGATTGCGCAGTGATTACTTTGACTTTGGTGCAAGTGTGTTGACACCTGCCTAGAAATTCACGGGAGCGTGTTGACGGCTATCGACGAATGCGGCGGCATGTCATCTCATCGCAACAAACTTACCAGTGAGAAACATGTCAAACAATCTAAATCATGTACTGCCTGCTCGGCAGTACTTGTGGCGCTGCTGCTACTGTTCGTGTACGTTATCGACCACGCCATCCGTTGCTGTGCCATTGTGCAAGGGACCGCCTCAATAAAGTGCGTATCGCTCGTGGAAACAAAGGCAACTCACCACCGTGGCGGCGGTAAGTTGTTTGCGCAAGGGCGAATTCATGCGTATGTTACAGGAAGCGGCACTGACGGAGTGAGCTCAGTCTTGTGCGACGCACTGCCCGCAAATATAGCTTAGGGGGTGCTCAGCTTAACGAGCGATGGTAACGCGTTTCATGTGTAGCCATGTCTGTTTTCACCCCCGCAGGGGCACCTGCCAAGTAGGCGTTTGGTGTGTAGCGACACCACGGACCCGAGCTAACGGGGGAGTTTCTACTCCCTCCCATGCCTAGCCGTGCGTGGCTTTGCTGTGTCCGGGGAAAAGGGGATCCTGGGGGTTGAGCCGACGCTGGGTGATTGGACCTTTAAGGCCCCCCGGCAGAGGTAACACACCCCTTTGGCCCTGGCTTCACGTAGACGGCACCCCTGGGCTGACCCACCCTGGGGAAATAGGCAGTCGCCTTCTCCTATCTCTCTCTCTCCCTACATCTTCGTTCTGACTTTTTTAGCTTTCCTGTCTACTTCTCTCTTCTGCTTACTTCCAATTTTCTCGGCGGCAAGGGTTAACCCTGTGCAAATAGCCTACCTTGGCCTAGGCGCATTGGGTTATAGTAGGGTTGTACTGCTGACGTCTGCAAGCTTTCAGCATCCGCAAACTTGGAGCGTCCCCTCGTTGGGCTCCGTGGTGGGTGGCCGCCAACGCTGCTGAACAACATACAATTAGCATCCACAAAGCATTCCCTTTACTTAGTGATCGTGCCTTCTCAAAGCGGGTACGCACCGAAGATATCAATTTTTTCATCCGGCCAAGACAAATCTTTCCTCATTTCCACGTTATACAGTCGCCGACTGATTTTTCGGACCTGGCGGGGACCGAGAAAAAGTACGAAAAATCGAACAGTCCGAAAAATTCGTTTTCGCCGAAAATCTCAAGTTTATTGCATCAGGCAGGTTTAAAAAAGTCCTTGATGCTGCCTTGCCTCAAACTACGCTTGGAGGCAATCTGGTTTGCCCGTATTTGCGCCAAGGCGACATCGTCGCCGTAAACGCTCGACAAAATTGTCACCGCGTTGGCGATCTCCGCCGCCGACGGCTGCGGGCGGTCGTCGTTGTCGTCATCCATCCGGCGTCGACCATCATCCGGCGACATCTAGCTGCGAATGTCCACTCTCTATTAGCTTGATTATGGCAGCTTTCTTCTCCATCGTCAGGGTCGTATACTTCCCACGCTTCTTCACACCACCTGGCTCCCGCGATGGCACAGATGGCGGAGCCATGGCACTGAGAACACAAAATTCGATGCCGCAGATAGCCGCTGCGAAGCACACAACGTCTCGACGCTACGCGACACAACACGTGCAGAATGGCTACTGAAAAAAGCTGCAACGACAATAAAAGAATCCTTCTTTCGCCTCCTCCCCGTGCGATGTGATGACGATAGTGCTGACCGAAGACGAAAAAACGGCATCCATCACCGCGTCTTTTAAAAAGCGAACACGGCCTCCGAAACTTGAAATATGGCGTGCGCATTCCAATCTTGGAGGCAGGAAAGGCATCTGAAGACCAAGCTTAGCCAAGCCGACGGAAAATCCAACATGGCGGCGTTCACAATGGCTTGGGGCGTGGCACAAAACGAGCGATTTAGTCCGAACTGTCAGGGGCAAATTCGCCCGAAAAATCGATCGAAACAATGCATTAGCTCTATGGGATCCCTGACGGTGCATTTATGAAGTCCGGAATATCCAACAAGTCCGAATTTTTGGAGTCCGGAAAATCGGTCGGCGACTGTACACTGCGAAAAAACTAACAAGCAAGCCAGAACTGTATCCCCCTTCGTAATGGCTAGATGCTTAACCGAAACTCTCGGTGCCGGGTACAAGGTTATCAATATGGTCAGCGGATATCTACTCCTTGAGATACGTGACAAAGACCAATTCGATAAACTGAACACCCTCACAACGTTTGGAGACACACCCATCAGTATTACGCCACACAGGTCCATGAACTCATCTCGTGGGGTCGTATCGGACGCAGATTTGCTTGACCTGACCAAAGCCGAACTTCTGGAAGGACGGAAGAGCCAGAACGTGACAAACGTACAGCGTATTAAGATAAGAAGAGATCAAAAAGAAATACCAACCAAACACTTAGTACTGACCTTTGCTTCGAGCGATATGCCGGAAACCATTCAGACTGGGTATACAAAGACATCCGTGAGGCCATATATTCCCAACCCCCGCCGTTGCTTCCAATGTCAGAGATATGGCCACGGCTTGCAAAGCTGTCGTGGCCGGAAAACTTGTGCTCTGTGTGGAGTCGTGGGCCATGCGTCCGACAACTGCGAAGCACCTGCACACTGTGTGAACTGTGGTGGTAATCATGCCGCGTACTCACGTTCCTGTTCTTTCTGAAAAAAAGAAAAAGAGATCATCACTTTAAAGATAAAAGAAAACATTACATTTAAAGAAGCAAGAAAAAGAGTCTCGCCATTTTATGGCTCCACATATGCTGATGCTGCGCGCCAGGGGGCAGTGTCGCACCAGCCCTCGCCACTCCTTCGGCCTGCGCAGAGCGAGCCATTGGCTGTGGCACCTGCCCCCAAGGCGGCAGTAGTTGAGTCTACTCCGCCTACTATTGAACAGAGACCAGAGACTCCAGGTTCCTCGGGTCTCAAGGCCTCACCTCGCCAGGCGAGGCCCAAGCTTCGAAAAACCAGCTCGCATGAGCGGGCATCCAGTGCCTCCCAGGAGGCAATAGATACGGCGGCACCCCTGGTGCCAAAAGAACGGCGCGGCTCTCTGGAGCGCGCCAAGAGAACTAAAAAGCTCATAACAAGGCCTGATAATAGCCCTGTTACTTGAGCTTGACCTTTCAGCTTAAAGAAGTCACTCCCTTAACGTACACACAGCACTACTTTACTTCCAATATGGAAACACAAATTATACATTGGAACGTCAGAGGACTGCTTAAGGGGGGACGCGGCCTTCGAAAACCGAAAAAATGTCAAAAAAGTTCATTTTTAGAAAACAGTATATTTGGTCAGTATAATCTATAAACTACCTCCTCTGTAAATATCAGCCCCGAATTCGCGCTAAAAGTACCTCAAATAAAATATTTAGGTAGCTGAGGCAGCACCTGAGGAGCGCGTGATCGTCAAAAATACCCTAACTTCGCGCGCACGCCGTTTCTCCCCCGCTCAACAGAGCGCCGTCATCTTGGTCACGTTTTGTTCGTGATTTCTTGCTTTTTTTTTTCCCGCCATCAGCGGTGACAACGGCGTGGTCGAGGCGTAACTGGCTTGCGATTGGGTAGCGCGCGGGGTATTCGAGTTTCCCACTTTTCAAACACGGCGCTACAATTGGACGGAGCGCGTGCTTCTTCGGAGCGAGGGGAAACGAGTGGTTGCTATTGGCTGGTGCGCGCGCTCACGTGCTCATCTCCCACGCATGGTGCGGCTGCCGCGCCGGCCGCGCGGCTTGTTGTCTGCTCCGACTTGTTCGTTGCAAACGTTCTCCGTGTGCTTCTTCGTCTTTTGTGATTGGCCTCGGCACTGTCGTGCAAACCGTCTTCACAAGACGATAGTTCTGCGCAGCCCCCTGATCGTCGAGTTCTCCCGTGCCTTCTGCTTGAACAGTCGCAAGTTGCCGGACGCATGACCGACGCAGCTCTTTGTGCCGAGGAGGCTCTTCAAAAGCTTTGCACGTGGTTTGCGGCGATGGATCGCACGCTTCGCAGGAAACGCGCGACTGCGCTCGCTTTCGGTAAACGAAAGCGCCGACCGCCTATTCCACGGCATTCGCGGAAACGCCCAACAAGTCGGCAGTCAGTCGGCGATAACGAAGTCACCCTGGATCCTCAGCCGTCAACAAGTTATCGCAACCCAGCGGACAATGCAGAGGGGGTGCGACGCAGGTGCGTGTCAGAGTCATCAACTGAAGGCATGCTTATCGATGTTATCACACATCAACGTGAGGCTGCATGCTCGCCTAACCGAGATCGGGCTGTTGAACATGACGGTGAAACGATCGATGCGGAAATGACAGGTGCGTCGGCAGACGCCGTAAATCAACGGAGTGATAACGAGACTTTACTCGGCGAGCGTCGTACCATTCAAGGGCATATTCAACCAAGCTTTCTGTCCGCGCAAACGGCAGAGGCGCAGTCGACAACAATTCGCTGAGTCGCTCGGCGCGATGTCGGCAACTGAGCGGAAATTCGCACTGACAGCGTCTCAGGAACGCGAAACTACGCCTGTGCCAGGAGAAGAATACGTGCTTATGCAGATGACTGCTCTGAACGCGATAATTGGGAAAACACTCTACC